CAACTAAAGCAACTACAGTTTTATCCAACTCTATAACCGGCTTCTGTGTGGAATTTCATTTGAAAATATCATTCTGGGTAGAAAAATGGTTTTAAACTTTGAACAGCACTCCCTTAGATTTGGAACAGTACAAAGATTTCCAGAAGATGCCAAGAATCTAAGCTCCCAAAGAAATAACACAGACCTATTCAGCCAGTGGCACCTCATTCCAGGAACTTAACTTCTTCTAAGTAGTCTATTAACTTGAGATCCATTCAGAGTGTGCTGCCTCTGCTCTCAATAATGCAGAAAACTCATCCTCTCCCTTGAGATGAGTTCTGGCCTGGCAAGCCTGGATACTTCCGGCTCTATCTATCTACTTAACTGGTGTTAGAGGCACAGAAGGGGCAATTCTATGGTATATGGTAAGAGCACTTCCACAAATTCAGAAAATATGATGTTATATTTCACTCCTGAAAGTTTAATGAAAGTTAATGACCATTTTCACCTTGTCAAGGAAAAAAAACACTATTTGGAGGCATAATTAAAATTTATGTTCATGCAAGAGTTTAGGTAGTTGGTTCTCAATCCTTACCAAGCATTAGAATGTCCAAAGGAGCTTTAAATGGTATGAGGCTGAAAGGCTTGGATTTAATTGATCTTCAGTGAGACCCTATCATCAGTATTCTTTTTTAATATCTGTAGGCAAGACAGGCATTTGGTACAGCAGTTAAGATGCCACTTGGGACGCCCACATCCCATTATGAGTGCCTAGGTTTGAGTCCCACCCCCCAATCTCCATTCCAGCTTTCTACTAATGCATAACCTGGGAGACTACCTGTAGGTAGTTAAGTCCCTGCCACTCACATGACAGACCTGGATTGGGCCTGGGCTAGCCCTGACTGTTGCAGGCATTTGGGGAGTGAACCAGCAGATGGAAGGTTCTCTCTCATTCTCTCTCTCTCTCTTTCTCTCTGCCTTTCAGGTAACTTAAATAAATAAAAATTTTAAATTCTGCAGGTATAGTCAGAGAATTTCTCATTTAAGCGAAGGCCAATTGAACATGATTTTAATAGGAAATCATTTGTTCAGGTGTGGAAAGGTAGTGGAACAAATGGTTGGAAGTGACTGAGGGATTTAATTGGAGTACAGAGAGATTATTTTGTGCTAAGAAGGCAAAGAGAGAAGTATCAGGAGATGTTTATTTCATTGAGCATTTTTCCCAGGCTTCAGAATAATGCTTTGCATATTAGAAGGGTGATTCCATAGCATTCTCAATATGCAACTTGAAAAGGTTCCTAACCCATGACTTATGGGCATAGATAATGAGCTGTTCACACCAGAAAGTTGCTAGCCAATCATTGTCTTAAGTACAGCAGAACCAAGCAAGTTTGAGTCCAAAAAAAATGAGAGCATAGAACGCAGAACATACTAGATCATTCAACCTTCTTTCCTGTTTGTTCCTTCACTCTCCACCCTACCCCATGGCCCCTTTGTTTTTTCCTTAACACAGTGTGTGGAGCTTTTACATATTAGGCCAAATATATTGAGAATAAGAAATTTTAAAATGAAAACACATTCACCTGTTCTCTTGCAGCTTGATTTCCAGTAGATTAGGTGATAGTATAGCTTGTCTTTCTTTCTCATTCAAAATTTTTCTTTTTTCAGCTTTTTTAAATCATTTGAGCTTTTGAGGGAGTAGATTGTATTCCATTCTTCAGTTTCTTCACCACAATTAACTAACTTAGCAACCTGCAGCAATCCCCTATCCTATACAGTCACAAATAATCTCCTAGCTATGAAACCTACTCACTCAATTCTCAATAAGGTTTGGATGGCCACAACACTTAACTCTGTTTTTATGCCATGTGCGTGTGTAAGTGTGTGTTTAACCTATCTTCAGAACTAAACATTATTATCCATTTGCTTTCCTTCTAGAAATTCTTCCTTCTCAGTGTTCCTGAGATTTTTTGTGCTTCTAGTGCCTCTTGGTCCCTAAGGTTTGATCTTCATTATCTCTTCACACTGTAATACCTTGTCCCTTCTACCCTATGACTCCTTTACCACAAATTCACTTTCTCCTTTGATCATAGTTATTCTCTCATATATTGCCACCATTATTATGTTACTTACTTCTAAATCAGTAACTTCCACTCAAAGATCCCCCAACGCACAAATCTTTATATTTACCCACCCACTAAATAATCACTTAGATGCCTTAGAGGCATAGTAAGCCCAATTCCTCCAAATAGCTCTTCTATCTCCCCAAATTGCTCTTTCCCCACAATCATTATTCCATTGGAAAAACATCTTCCTGGGGCAGGCATGTGGTACAATGGTTCAGATGCTGCTTGGCTTGCCCACATCCTATTTCAGAGTATCAGGTTTGAGTCCCAGCTCCACTCCTGATTCCAGCTTCCTACTAATGCACACACTGGGAAGCAGCAGATGATGGCTCAAGTATTTGGATCCCTGCCACATGGGAGAACTGGATGGAATTCTAGTTCCAGGCCCAGCCCCTGCTGTTTTAGGTGTCTGAGGAGTGAATCAGAGGGTAGGAGGTTCTCTTACTACCTGTCTGCTTTTCAAATAAACAAATAAATAATTTTTATAAAAGGAAAAAACATCATCCTCAGTTATCTAAATTGTAAAGTAGGAGGAGTTCCCCTCCCCTACCAGCCCCAATCAGTCTGTGAAATAACCCAGGAAGAACTTTCAATGTGCTTCTTAAATGACACTTATTGTTTTGAGGAACCTGAGAAGAATGTTACGTCATGTCCTTTTCATTAGAATTCTGTTAACTGGAGTGACATTTCAAAACCTCAGTTTAACAGCTGTTAATGGAATACATATTATATAACTATGGAAATGAACATGTCTCAACAGAATGTGCCTGCTGCTAGCACTGTTCACCCTCTAACTCCCAGCTCCTTGTGACAGAGGCTAGATTATAGATGAGTATAGCCAACATGGTGACTGATCCCTTCTCTATCCAGTCCCACTCAAGGGTAGCAGCTCCCTCCCTGGCATTGCAGGCCTAGAATATGTGATTACCAACCACCTGCACCCACTCATGACAGGTTGGTCTCTGTCACAAGAAGCAAACTAAGAAGACCAGAGGCTACTTCCTTGCCCAAAATACAGCTCATAAAGCAAGAAAGTCACTCAGAGAGAAACAGGCAACTTTCCTTACTCCTAGCACTGGGGCAACGACTCAAGAGATTTTGCCTACAGATAGAGCCAATGGAGGGATTAAAAACCATCCAGCAAAGGAACTGGCTTAATTTGAAACAGAGTGTGGTAAACACCAATCCTAAAACAATAGAGACTTTACTGATAAGCAAATAAAAGGAGGCTGATAGCTCCATAAGAGAAACAAGTTAAATCAAAGGCCAGCTAGTTTACCAGAGAGAAAAAGGGATCAAGAAAGAAAGAAAGAAAAAAAAAAAAAAAAAGAGCCTTCCCAGGGTAAGAAAAATCTCAAAGACTAGTATCAAAACCTATCCATGGGGCCAGCGCTATGGCATAGCAGGTAAAGCCACTGCCTGCAGTGCTGGCATCCCATATGGGCACCAGTTCGAGGCCCGGTTGCTCCACTTCCTACCCAGCTCTCTGCTATGGCCTGGGAAAGCATTAGAAGATGGCTCAAGTCCTTTGGCCCCTGTACCTGCGTGGGAGACCTGGAGGAAGCTCCTGGCTCCTGGCTTCGGATCGGTACAGCTCTGGCCTTTGCAGCCAACTGGGGAGTAACGCAGCAGATGGAAGCCCTCTCTCTCTCTCTCTCTCTCTCTCTTTCTCTGCCTCTCCTTCTCTCTTTGTGTAACTTTGACTTTCAAATAAATAAATAAATCTTAAAAAAAAAAAAAAAACCTGTCCATGCAAAGGGATCAAAATTTAATTGGATTGCAGAATTTGGCTGGATTGGACCATGGAGGAATTTTTGTCTTCAGGGGATTATTGAAAAGAACAGAGCAACCAATGTTTCCTGGAGACTAACAGCTAGATATGATACCAACAGAGGCAGAAAACTTAATAAAGCAATCAAGGAAAGCTACACCAAAGAGGACCCAGATACAGCATTTTCACCCCAAGGTGGCTGAGCACATGCCCAAGATTGTGCCCTCTGAGGAGTGGACATCAGCTGCTTGACATTGAAGAAGAAATAATCTTTATTTTTAAAAAAAGTCCTGCAAAATCACTGAAGAAATTAATGAGCAATCAAGACAAAAATAAGCCTGAGGCAAGAGTGGAAGAAGTGTGAGAGAGAAGCTGTCCATACCCAGAATTGCTACAATATGTCATCTAAAAAGCTGAGATTCAGAGACGAAATTATGAAAAAAAAGAAAGCATAACATACACAAAAAGAAAAAAGCAAATAATAAAAATATCGGTGAAAGGGCCCTATATAGAGATGTAACAAAGACTCACACCAGCCATTACAAATATGTTCAAAGAACTAGAGGAAACCATGATTAAAGAAGTAAAGCAGGACGGTGCCGCGGCTCACTAGGCTAATCCTCCACCTGCAGCGCCAGCACACCAGGTTCTAGTCCCGGTCGGGGCGCTGGATTCTGTCCCAGTTGCCCCTCTTCCAGGCCAGCTCTCTGCTGTGGCCAGGGAGTGCAGTGGAGGACAGCCCAAGTGCTTGGGCCCTGCACCCCATGGGAGACCAGGAGAAACACCTGGCTCCTGGCTTCGGATCAGCGCGGTGCGCCGGCCGCAGCGCGCCAGCCACGGCGGCCATTGGAGGGTGAACCAACGGCAAAGGAAGACCTTTCTCTCTGTCTCTCTCTCTCTCACTGTCCACTCTCTCCACCTGTCAAAAAAAAAAAAAAAAGAAGTAAAGCGAGGAATGATGCCAATGTCTCATCAAATAAAGTATACCAATAACCTGTACATGTATGTGCACTTTGTATGTATAGGGTATTTCAATAAAATGTTAAAAAAAAAAAGAATGCCATAGAGACAGATGATACAGAAAAAGAAACCAATCGAATATCTACAGTTGAAAAGTACAGTACCTGAAATGTTAAAATTCACAAATGATGCTCCTCAGTAGATTTGAACTGCCAGAAGAAAGACTCAGCAAATTCATGAATAGATTGAACAGATCCTGCAATATGAAAAAAGGAGAGAGGGGGAGAGATTAAAAAATGAAAAATGAACAGAGTCTCAGAGAAATACGGATACCAGTAAGAGCAACAAAATATACATAATGGGAATATGAGGAGGAAGGAAGGGAAGAAGCAGGAAAAAAAAACTTTGAAGAAATAATGGCTGAAAATGTCTCCAAAATAATGAAAACCATTCATTTACACAGTGGAGGAGTTCAAAACCCCCAATAGAATAAATACAAAGAGAGATGCATCGTAGTAAAATATTGACAATCAAAGCTAAAGGGTAAATCTATTTTTTTTTTTTTTTTGACAGGCAGAGTGGACAGTGAGAGAGAGAGACAGAGAGAAAGGTCTTCCTTTTTGCCATTGGTTCACCCTCCAATGGCCGCCTTGGCCAGCGCACTGCGGCCAGCGCACTGTGCTGATCCGATGGCAGGAGCCAGGTGCTTCTCCTGGTCTCCCATGGGGTGCTCTTAAAAGCAACAAAAACAAAAACTGCTTAAAACATATATGGGTATCCCAATAGGTCTAATAGGTGACTTTTTGTCAGGCACAATGGAGGCCAGAAAAAGTGCTGCAACATACTCAAAATGTAGACAGGAAAAACTGTCAACAAGGATCCCACATTCAGCAAAAACATCCTTCAAAACTGAAGACAAAAGAAATACATCCTGGGGCAGGCATTTGGTGCAGTAATTAGGTTGCTATTTGGGACTACCACTGTCCATATCAAAGTGCCTGGTTGAGTCCCAACTCCTCTGCATCTGATTCCAGCTCCATATTCATGCACACCCTGAGAGGCAGCAGATGAGGTACAAATACTTGGTCCCTGCCACCCACATGGGAGACCCAGATTGAGTTCTGGGCTCCTAGCTTCAGCCTGGATAATCCTTTGCTTGTGTGAGCATCTGGGGAGCGAATCAGTGGATGGCAGTTATCTTTCTCTTCTGTTGTGTCTATTTTTCAAATAAAATGAAAATGAAGAAATTAAAATTTTAAAAAAGAAAGACATCCATAGAAACCAAAAACTGAATAACTTGTTGCTAGAAGAAACATTGTACAAGAAATAATAGAAATTATTCAGGCTTAAAGCAAATAATCCCAGATGATAAACAGAATACACATGAATCAACAAAGAACCCCAGTAAAGGTAGTTATGCAATTATTGAAGTTGAGAAAATGCATATTTTTCCTCCTTTCATCTCTTAACAGATTTGAAAGCAATTATATAAAACAATATGCATATTTTTGCATAATTGGGCCTATAACATTACAAATGTAATATATTTTTAAACGATAGAACAAAAGAGGATAGGAGCAAAGCTATAGTGGGATAAGGAAATGATATCAAATGGTGACTCAAATCCTCAGGAACAAGGCAAGAGAACCAAAAATAGTAAATAAGAAAGTTAATATGAAAAAAGAGACTTAATATAACAAAATCTATAAATATATTCTTGTTCTCCTTTTTTCTAGCAATTTCTTTACAAGATAAAATTATAAAAGGTAATAATTATTACAATAAATCTTGGGGATTCTAATATATAGTTATAGTCTATATAAAAATAACTACACAAATGGGGAAAAGGAAATAGAGAATAAGGTGTTATAGGAATAGTTCTTCAATATCTCACTAGAATTAAGTTAGCATAAATCTGACATTGACTTTGTTAGGTTGTGATGTTTATTCTAAGCCTGAAAGCACTAAGAAGATAACTCAAAAATATATGGTAACAAAAATCAATGAATTAATTAAAATCTTGAACTAGAAAATACTTATAGAAGCAAGTGTTTCACCTAACAGTTAAAACACCCCTGTATCACATTAGGGTACCTGGGTTTAATTCCTGGGTACAGCTCCTGACTCCAACTTCCCAGCAATGGAGACCATGGGAGGCAGCAGGTTTTGGCTCAAGTAATTGGAAACTTGGATTAAATATTCAGCTCTTAACTTGATCTCCAGCCTAGTACTGAGCACTGCAGCACTGCAAGAATTTTTGGGAGTGAACCTTTAGATGGGAGCTCTTTCTGTGTGTGTGTCTTTCTGCTTCTCAAATAAATAAATAAAATGTTTAATGCAAAAAAAAAAAAAGCTGGGAAGGATAACAACTGGAACAAAAATCTCATGAGACATATAGGAAATAAAAAGTAAAATGACACATAAATCACAGTATATCGATAACAACATTAAATGTAAATGAATTAACAATTAAAAGGCAGAAATTATCATACTGAAAAGACAAGATCCAATTATATGTTGTTTATAGTATATAATACTTTTAATCTAATTTTGAAGTCTACATCCTTTTTTTAAAAAAGACTTATTTATTTAAAAGGCAGAGTTACAGAGAGGCAGAGGCAGGGAGAGAGAAACAGAGAGAGAGAAAAAGAGAAAAAGAGAGAGAGAGAGGTCTTCTATCCACTGGTTCACTCCCCCAAATGGCTGCAAAGGCGGTGCTAAGCCGATCCGACGCCAGGAGTCAGGAGTTTCTTCCAGGTCTCCTACATGGGTGCAGGGACCCCAGGGCTTGGGTCATCCTCTGCTGCATTCCCAGGACACAGCAGAGAGCTGGATCAGAAGTGGAGCAGCTGGGACTCAAACCGGCCTCCATATGGGATGCCAGCACCGAAGTGGTAGTTTTACCCACTATGCCACAGTGCCGGCTCCTGTCCATATGCTTTTTTAAGATTTATTTGAGGGAGAGAACCTGCGGATGGAAGACCTCTCTCTCGCTGCCTCTGCCTCTCTGTAACTCTGCCTTTCAAATAAATAAATAAATCTTTAAAAAAAAAAAAAGATTTATGTGAAAGAGCAATGAGAGCAGGGGCCGGGGTAGGGGACTTGTGGGGGAAGGTCAGAGGTCTTCCATTCACTGTTCCATTCTCCAAATGCCCTCAACTGCCAGGTTTGTACAAGGCAGAAGCCAAGAGCCAAGAACTCTATCCTGGTCTCCTAGATGGGAGGCAGGGGCCCAGGTACTCAGGTCATCTTTCACTCCTTCCCAGATTCAATGGCAGGGAATTAGAATTTTTTTTTAAGATTAATTTTTATTTACTCAAAAAGCAAGAGTTAGAGGGTGCAAGAAGAGACAGAAAGAAATTTTCCATCTGCTGGTTCACTCCCCAGTTGGCTGCAAGGACTGGGACTGGCCCAGGCCAAAGTCAGGAGACAGCGATTTCTTCTGGGTCTCTCATGTGAGTGCAGGGCCCCAAGAACTTGGGGCATCTTCTGCTCCTTTCTCAGTTACATTAGCAGGGAGCTGGATCAGAAGTGGAGCATCCAGGACTTGATCAGAGCCCATATAAGATGCCAGTGTAACAGGCAATGGCTTTACCTGCTATGCCACAACACCAGCCCAAGGATCTGGACTGGAAGCAGAGTAGCCAGGACCCAAACCAGCACTTTGATTTGCAAGTTGTGCCACAATACCAGCCCCAGTATACAAACTTTTTTTTCATATTTTATTTGAAAGGCACAGTTACAGGGAAAGAGAGAGAGAGCAAGATCTTCCATCCATTGGTTGACTCCTCAAATGGCCATAATAGCTGTGGCTGTGCCAGGCCAAAGCCAGGGGCAAGGAACTTCCTCCAGGTCTCCAACATGGATGCAGGGGCCCAAGCACTTGGGCCGTCCTCCATTGCTTTTCCAGATGCATTACCAAGGAGCTGGACTAGATGTGGAACAGTAGAGACTCGAACAGATGCCTATATGGGATGCCTGCACTGCAGGTGGACACTCTACCCATTTCACCATAATGTCAGCCCCCCAGGATACAAATTTTTGATTCAAAGACACAAATGGGTTCAGAGTAAAAGGGCAGTAAAGATACATTATAGGAAAAGCAGCCAAAAATTTTAAAAAGTCTATATTAATAGTAAACAAAGTAGAATTTTAAAATGTCACTAAAGGTAAAGGGATACATTTTATAATGGAAAAGGGGTCAATACATCTGGGAGGTACAACTATAAAAGAATATGTACTTAATAAAGGCCCAAAATACATGATGCAAAACTGCCAAAATTCAGGACAGAAATAGACAACCAACAACTGTGATATAATAACAACTATATTTGGTCCCTACTTCCTGCACAAAGTTCCTAAAAGCTTTACAATATTCTGAAAGGAATATCTCTTGTTATTCATAATGACTCCCTTTTGATCTCACTTGAGTATATGCTAATGAAGTGACACAGGGTGAGCCTCAGAATGGGGCTGCTCTACAAAACGTCCAAGTGACTACAGTGTTGGAACTTTCAGCCCCACCCTCTGAAGTAACTCAATTAAACATTACAAAAACTTTGAACAATGAGATTTGATGTTTTGGAGTTGCTGAACACAAAGGGGTGCTGAGACAGTGGCTCACCACAGAAGACATGGAAGTTCCCTCCACATATCTTGCCCTGGGCAGATCTTCCATCTGGCTATTCCTGAATTGTATCTTTTATGACAAACCAGTAACTGTACATAAAGCATTTTCTTGAGTTCAGTAAATTTAAAATCTTTGCTGAGCCATTCCAGCAAATTATCAAATCTGAGGGGGAATCAGGGAGCCCCTGACACATAGCTGGTTGGGCATTAGTATCACTGGCCTGAACTTGCAGTTGGCATCTGGAAGTCTTTGGGACCAAAATACTAACCTGTAGGATGCAATATCAACCCCAGGTAAACAGATTCAGAGTAGAAATAAGTTGTAGGACACCCAATTGTGTTCCGAGTTAGAGAATTGCTTGGTGTAGAAAAGACCCACACATCTAGTATCTAAAGTTTTATGTGAGTGTGTAGAGAAACAAAGAATGTTTCCCTCAACCACTAATTATTGGAAACTTCAAAATGGCATTTTCAGCATTGTGTAGAACAATTAGGTAGAGGATAAACAGAAGATTTGCAGAACTCTATAAACTAGCTATACAAAATGAATACCTACAGAACTCTCTAGCCCAAAACAGCAGAATATACATTCTTCTCAAATGTGGACTATTCTCCAGAATAGACCGT